CCAGTCATGAGAGTCGTCCCACCACGTTTCTGTGATGGCGAGTATGTCATGGCCCTCCTGCTGCACAAGGGCCTCCAGCTCCTCCTGTTTGTTGCCCATGCTACATGCATTGGTGTAGATGCACTTAAGCTGGGCTATCGATTTCGCCCCCAACGTTGTCGTGCTGCCCCTGGGCTCCTCATTAGCGGGCCCGTGTATATCCCCTTCCCCCTTCAAACCTAGTTTAAAGCCTTCTCAATGAGTCCCGCGAATTCATGGGCAAGAATCCTTTTCCCCCTTGGAGACAGCCGATCTCCATCAGCCGCCAGCAGGCCCGGTGCTGTGTAGACCTGATAGTGAACTGCAATTAGTTGGGGTTTTTCTAATGACTGAGTCTCTCTTATTTGGAATAGAGGGTGTAGTACAGAGATAAATGAAAACAGGCAGTTTTGGGCATGTTATACTGTCTGTTTTCATGGGAGAGCTAATCTGCAGTCAGTTTATGGGTAGTAAGAAGTCAAAGTATATGAGTGAAACTCCCTATATTCCCTGATACAATTGAAGCGAATTTTTTGTTTTTACAAATAGACTTTTTTCTTGTTTTACTGATCACTGTAGCTTTGTTAACTGATGTCACAAATACATTCCCTATTTAAAATAGCAGCAGGGCTGATGTTTAATGATGCAATCCACACCAGTTTTGTCTTCTAGTTATTGTAGTACAAATACTCCAACATTTAGTGGAGTATTATAAACACAGAATTTATTTTCAGTTGTCTTTACACCTTTCTGACTTTATTTCTTCTGACTCCATTGTTATGTGTTACTGTAAGGTTTTTGAAATACGGAAACAGAGAAAAGATGGCCCAGGAGCTGAAGTTTGGTGATATCGTGGAGCGACATCTTATAGATGGTGACATAGTCCTATTCAATCGACAACCCTCTCTTCATAAGCTGAGCATCATGGCTCACATTGTAAGTGCACACACAGCCTAACATACAGGTAGTGCATCCCTGAATATTAGGTGGTTTACCTTTGCTGGTGTTCATCTCTTGCACACACAAAAATAAACAGCTGCTTCTGAAATACTGCGTGGGGACGAGCATGAATACAGTGCAGTTGTGCTTTTGCATGGGAATTGATGCATAACTGGGCAGGGTGCTGTCTGGACAATTCTCTTAATAGCCATAATTGACCTTGGTATCTGTTCTTGCGTAAGCATTTCATTTTTGTAGAGTTGATGTGATCTCTACAGTGTGTGCTGATTTCTGTGCTTTGTATAAATTCTTAATAATGGAAGTTATTAGCTACACTTGTATAATATAACCTGAGTACGATTTCTTTCAGTTCCTGGTTGAGTTAAATCCTATAATCAGAAATTTTGACTCATGTCTGTAGTAAAAAGAAAGGATAAAGCCTACAAGGAAGCATTTGGGCATGGCATTTCATCTTTTAGCATGCTTGACTGCATGTGCATCACCTTTTTTTTTTTTTTTTTTTTTTAGGCTAGAGTAAAACCGCATAGGACATTCAGATTTAACGAATGTGTCTGTACACCATACAATGCAGACTTTGATGGAGATGAGATGAACCTTCACCTTCCTCAGACAGAAGAAGCAAAAGCAGAAGCACTTGTTTTAATGGGGGTATGTAGATAATGCTGGGGTTGGGATTTTGCTAGTGATGGATGGGCTGAGCCCTGTATTTCTTAACTTGCATGTGAAATCTGAAATATTATCAAGATTCCTGGGTATGGATAATGTGTGACTGTGAAGCTGCCTGAAAACTCTGCAAAAGGGAATTTAGAATAAATTGGGACTGTTATGCAATGGTAGCCTAATAGGCTTATATTTAGCATCTGTGGAAAATGCAGTGGTTTTAAGTAAGTAGATGTCATTAGTATGTTTCTGCCTGACTGTCCTTAGTGATTGCTACCAAAATAGGTGCCTCTGTTACCAAACAGATACATACTTTGTTTTCTGGTTTGACAGCCTGGCAACTGCAGGTGATCAGACCAACTGCAAATGAGACAGCACTAGTGTGCTTGTCCTGGAGAAGGCAGTTTATCAGAGGAGGCAGGAGACAGTAGGCTCTTAGGGCAGGGGAGAAAATGGAGAAGGAAGGGTAGATAAAGAGGGATCTGATGATTGCAGGCATTGATCTGTGGTGTGAAAGTAGAGTTGGTAGCAACGATCTGAGGATTTTCCAATACATTGCTCAGTTAAGGTGACTGAATGCCGTTGCTACTGCAGATGTACCGACACAGCTGTTGGGTGCAGCGTGTATTGCCTTGCTGAACTGATTTGGCAGCTTAAAAAGAAACACACCCACCCTGCCCCTCCACCCCCCCCCAAGTGTGTGATTCAGGTTTGTGTGGGCCTGTGAACAGTTCAGCCAAAACTCTGCTGCATAGGTGGGGGTGATTAACTGGAGCAGTAGTCTGAGTAAGGCATAAGAAAATGGTGCTAGTGGAAGTGGCTAGCTTGATTATTACATATCAGCAGGGGCCACACAACTTGCAATATTTCACTAGCTCCCTGTAGTGAGTATAACCTCTTTTGTCCCTTCTCAGATTCTCAAAGCTAGCTTCCCTTCCCTGTCCCATTTGAACAGCAACCTACCAAACACATCAAGTTGATTGCAACTCCTGCTTTGGAAACAGAATATGTCATTTCCAGTAACTATTCTCAAATTATTCCTTAACTGTCAGTAGATTTGCATGGGCTGTAGTGAACTGAAACTTCTAGTTGATTTTTTTCTATCTTTTTGAAGACAGATGGTCTTCAGTTTAGAAAAAACTTTTAACCATTTTTGCTAAAATAACTGTCTTAAATGGTAAGTTTCTTCTGAATAATAAGTGGAGTATCAGTGTCTTCAAATGCGTGATTTTTTTGTTTCTTGCATCATACAGACTAAAGCAAACTTGGTAACACCAAGAAATGGAGAACCTCTCATCGCTGCTATTCAAGATTTCCTCACAGGTGTGTACATAAGCTAACTTTAGAGCTGTGTGATTTAACAGTTGTTCCTTCACAATCACTTCCCTCTTTTCCAGAATTTTTCTATATTAATTAAAAAAATTCTTTCACAAGTCAAAGTGATATTAGGACAGTAAGGCCATTGTTAGTCTGAAATACAATGATGATCTCAGAATCTCTTCTGATACTGTTTATCTTTGTAGGTGCAATTATTATTACCTTTGCATATGTTTTGCAGTGTTTCTCCTGCAGAGAACATGAATGTTTGGGATCTTTGTAGGTGTTAGGTAGACTGATTATGTAGAGGAGTTGAATTCATTAGTCAAAAATTAGTTTTAACCTACAGTAAGTACCTTCAAGTTTCCTTGATTCTTTGGGAGATGTCCAATAGATATAAGGAAGAAAGTGTACAAAAATTAATGCCCAAGCCTTATTTTTACCTATGGGATAGAGTTTGAGAGGGAGAATAGATTCTAGAAATGCACTGGTTTTAATTTTTAGAAATTTGATTGTGGAGCAATTTTAAAAAAAACCCAGTAATTCTAGAAAGGATTTACAACTGAAGCCGTCTAAACTATTGTCATTTTGCGTAGTAAGTAGATAACTAGTATTAGACTGACATTGATGCTGAATATGCAATAGCTTTTCAAGTTAGTCTTATTTTAGTTTGTCACATAAATAATTTTTTACATTCTAGGTGCCTATCTTCTTACATTAAAAGATACCTTTTTTGATCGAGCCAAAGCCTGTCAAATTATTGCTTCTATCCTGGTTGGCAAGGATGAAAAGGTTAAAGTTCGTCTTCCACCTCCAGCAATTCTGAAGGTGTGTCAAACTATTTTTTTAATGTTGCTAAGACTCTCTCTGTTGTGTGTTCTTGACTCATGGTGATGCTGTCAGCAGAGACAGTTCATTTTTTCTCTGACTTTAGTTTTGTATGAGATTTTTGTATTTGTTCAAGTGCAAGGATCAGATTTCAGGGTCAAAGCTATGCAGAAGTTGTTTGATGGTTTCTGATGATGAACAGAGTCAACCTTGGATGGTGCAGTCCAGATGCAGGGTTCCATCAGGGTTGAAACATAGCATTGCTACTATCCTGCTACTGTGAGACAGACCATTTGGCTATCCATGGTCAGTAGAAGATATATTGTTCTTGGTAACCTCGCTGATACTGGCTGTGCAGACTGATATGGGGCTGCGTGGAGAAACTGTGTTATTCCTTGGGTGCCCTCAAGTAATGTCCTGAAATGCTCAACAGTTCTAGGTTTCAGTATCCCAAATTTAGGAGATATTAAACCTGTGAAATAGTATGCTTTAGTTGTTAACCTGACAATGTGTTAAAGATTAGAGAGAATGAGTGCTATGTGATTTTTTTTGTTGGTTTGTTTGGGGGTTGGGTTTTTTTGTTGTTACATCATGTACACAAAATATTTATTATGAAGGGCAGAGTATTTGTGTATTTGTCACAAGCTTTGAAGAGAGCTATAGTATCATTTATTAGACTAGGGTCTGTTAAGCCTTCATTCACATAACATTTAAGGGTGTCTGTATTTGATTGATTTTATATTTGAGGCAAACAGTATTGTTTGAAGAGAGTTCAGTATACTTTCAGATTTGTTAAATACTCAGTATTAGTGTATACATTTTTTTTATACCCTTTGTTTAACAAGCAGTATAATATTAAGGAAATTCAGAAAGTGAAATTGAAATACCAATGAACAATGCTAATTTAAAGCAAGGTCAGAGCATTTGTGGGCAGTATCTAATGTGGATTTTCTAAGTTTATATGAATTTTTGTTAATAACTAAGAGCAGTGATTCTTTGCTGCTGTCACTCCAACTTAATAATTTTAGTGCTAGCTGTGACAGTTACTTTTGTTTAACTACAGATGAGGAGAGTACATAATTATATGAATCTTTAACCTCCTAAAATTTAAACCAAAGGCACTCTATGAAGAAGGAATTGTAAATGTTGCAACTTCTTTGAGAAATGAAATGGCAGCAGCATCTAATTTTTTTTTTCCTTTTCTATTCAGAAAGGCAAACATAACAGTAAGAGGGAGCAACAGAGCATATTTCTCTAAATGCACACACATACCCTTATGTAAAGGATAACCATTCAGCAGTCAGCATTTTTATATCTATAGAAGTGCATAATACTTCCCTATTCAAAGGAATGCTACTATGCACTTCTACAAGTATAGTTCAGTGTAGAAAGGTTCTGTATAGAAAATAATTTTACTATTAAATTCTTGCTGGTTTACTGTAGTTGTAGCATAAAGTCTGTAATCCTAATTCTTTTCCTTTTGTTTTTCTAAGCCTGTAACACTCTGGACAGGAAAACAGGTTTTCAGCCTCATTCTCAAACCCAGTGATGATTGTCCTGTAAAAGCCAATCTGCGAACAAAGGGCAAACAGTATTGTGGCAAAGGGGAAGACCTGTGTTACAACGATTCTTGTGAGTGACGCGTCTAAAGCTGTGCTTTGGAAGTCTTCTAAGAAATTGTAGCTATCGTTTTGTTGAGTTTGTTGCTGTTGAGCTCACTGTAGGAGTTAAAGCAGTACTTCACATAAGTATTCTTGAAATGAAAAATAAAATGAGGCAGTTTTTCTCAAAAGCTGAAGTTATCCTGAACACCAAAGAAAAGACTTGAGTGTTTTCTTGTAATAAAATTTCTTTCGTATGATGCTAGGCTTGTCGTGATACTAATGTAGTATTTGAAGGGGAGAGAGATAAAAGCAAAGAAGTTTAGGAGGTGGTTGTGCAGAGGGCAAATGGAAGAATTTAGTATCTTAAGTGGGGGTAGTGATACAGGGATTAGAAGTCAAACAGTGAAAGGAGTTAGGATATGTAGAAAAGATAGGAATCCCTAGGATATCAAACCATCTGTATCCCTCCAGTTAGGGAAGTCAGAGTGGCAGGTGGAATGCAAAGCATCAGGGTTGAAGAGGCTATAAGAGATGAGCAAGGCTTTGCTTGTTATTAATTTAACATTCATGTGGTAACAGCTGGAAAAGAACTTGAGCAGGCAGGATTAGCTTGGCTCCTTGCTGCTCAGAGCTGTGAGTTGAGGAACATAGGGAGGAACCACTGATTTACAGTAATTCCGTCATGTAATGTTGATGTGAGAAAGAATTTACTAATTGGGACTCAAATCCACTCTACACCAGACTCTGAGCAGTTTCTTTAGAAGGTAGGACCACTCTGTGGTTGTGAAGTTGGTTATAAACATGTTGGCATGGTTTTTTTCAGCCTCTAAGGAATGTGGGGTAAAAGGCAACAAAGCAATCCCGTTCACACTCGTGTGAACATAGGCCATCTTCTTTGCTCCGCAGCCTTTTCATTTTAAGAAGTATAGGAAGAATTTCCATCTGCTGAGTTCGACACTAGTAGATGATGCGGAAAACTTTTGGATTTCATTGGTGGCTCTGTTCAGTTCTCTGAAAAAACTTCATTTCTGAAGCAACACTAATTCTCTTCAGAAAGTTCCCTGCAAATTCTCCAAAGTCTCAAGAAATTCTGGTATCATATTTTGATTGTATATAATAGGTAATAGAGCAGTGACTTCTGGTTCAAGATGATGATTACCTAAATTCACATTGAAAATACTGAACATAGAGCACAGTGTGCAAACCTCTACAGTATTCTGCATAAAATAATTTAAACAGGATCCATCTAGATGTGCCAGTTCTTCTTTGAAAGATGCATAATGAAGTTGAGGGTGAACATATATTGTACTACTCTCAGAAAATATGTCTAAAGTTCATGTACAGAAGATACTTTTTAATTTATTAAAAGCTAAAGCTTATAAGGAAGATTCAGTGCCTGAAATGGAAGGTTCCTGATGAAGCAAAAGGAAGTCATCTAAAAGGGGAAATGTGTATAGGCCTACAGGCAGGAGAGATGTCTTTGATATGCTTGTAATTAAAGAGACATCCGAGTCCATTAAATTTAATCTGTGCCTACAGAGGTGATTGAGTTAAACTGAGTATCAAAATCTTTGAGTGAGAGAACTGTAACTTCACTTCTGAAATTCTGTTGTATTTCTAGATAAATAAATAAATAACTTTGGTTTATTATGCATGATTGAGGACTTTATTTCTGGACAAATAAGACTTGAACACTTTTTTCTGATTAAGTTTATTTTTAGATTTTTAACAAAGGATTATTCACAATGTTTCTCACAAGTCTTAAATTGGATACAGTTGCCTTTCTAAGGAGGAAGGGAGATGAATTTTAACTTAAGTTGGTAAGGTCCGGTTGCAGGCTGTTTGCCTTCCATACTTACTCATGTACTTCTACAGATACATTAAATGTATGTCTTTGGGTTCTGTTCTTTTCATGAATAGAGCTTTTATTTAAAAACCTATTCGATAATTCATTACTAGAGTTTAGGTAATGTTTTGGAAAAACGATGAATTCTTTTTGCCTTTTTATTTCTAGATGTCACAATTCAAAACAGTGAGTTAATGAGTGGCAGTATGGACAAAGGGACCTTAGGTTCAGGATCCAAGAACAATATCTTCTACATCTTGCTGAGAGACTGGGGACAGGTAGAAGCTGCAGATGCCATGTCACGACTGGCCAGACTTGCTCCTGTTTATCTTTGTAAGTAATGGGAGAAGTACATTTCCTTGTAAAGTAGTATCTTAAAGCAGAAATACAGAGCAATCAAGCAAGATTTTTGCTTCAAATATGATCTACTGTGTTTAAAAAAATAAGCTAGTTATGAAACTGTCAGAAACAGTGAAACAACTGATTTTGCTTACGATGGTTGCACGATGCGAGGAAAAAATAAAGTTCCCAATGATAATATTTTCTGGGTTTAATTTGTTTTCTCTATATGAGATTGAGCTATCAATATAGTCTTGTGTGTTTTGTTGTTTTGGTTTTTTTTTTTAAATAAAAGCTAATCGTGGATTTTCAATTGGAATTGGTGATGTAACCCCTGGGCAGGGCCTGCTAAAAGCTAAGTATGAGCTCCTGAATGCTGGCTATAAGAAATGTGATGAGTATATTGAAGCTCTGAACACTGGCAAGCTACAGCAGCAGCCTGGTTGTACTGCGGAAGAGACACTAGAGGTAAAATTTTTAATTTAAATCACTATATATTTAGAGTAGAGACTTCATGAATATATTCATGTAAATTAAGCTGGTGCTGCTGACAAAAAGGGTTGTCATGTCACTGGCTACCCCTGTCTTATCCCAAGAAAGACTTTTTGTGCAGCAAACTGGAAAGTCATGCAAGTTAAAAGTTAAACTTGTTTTACTGAAAGCAACATCTAGGTTTCTTTCTCTTTGAATTTGCTTTGACTACTGAAGGTATTGCTGGCAAGTGACAGAGTACTGTTCATGTACAGTATTTTTAACGAATGCTGAATCTCTGAAATCTTGGATTTCAGGCCTTAATCCTTAAAGAACTGTCTGTTATCAGAGATCACGCTGGCAGTGCCTGTCTCAGAGAACTGGACAAGAGCAACAGTCCCCTCATCATGGCTCTCTGTGGTTCTAAAGGTAGGGATAGCTAAACTTTGGAAGTGGACTGCTCGCTCCATCACTGTTCTCAACTTGTTCTGTCTTTCTAGCTTGTTTTACAGAGTCAGTTGTTCAAGTATTAAATTCATGTCTTATAGATTTGAAGTGACTCTTCTCAGTAAGTACAGGCTGGGTACAGTTAATTAAAATCAAGCTGATGAGCTAGTTTTTGTATCTTTAGATTTTTAGTACAAAAAACCTCCTATTGGAACTTCAGATGTTCTTAAGTCTTGAATCTAGGAAATGATATATTAAGAATTGGAACTAATACTTCAGCCATGTTCACTGCTTTGTTGCTGAAGGATCACCTGTGTAGTAAATACTTGGTTTGTACTCAAATTCTTATTGAAGCTTTCCTTTGTTTCCTATGAGAATTTGAAGAAATCACTTAACTCTTTGCCTTTATCTGTATCTAACAGATTGTGGAAAGCCTCAGGGTAACATTTTGAATTTCTAAAGTGGTACTGAAATGCAAGAAGGATACATTAAGTGGATAATTGGGGGGGGGGGGGGGGGGTGATAAACATGTTCAGCAAATAAAACTTCCGAGTTAGTCACTTAATTCTCTGAGACTTAATTTGTTCTAGGAATCTTGTTAGACACTGAACCCTTCATGAAAAATATTGTTAAAATATGTTTATTGAAGAAATTGTGAAGCAAAATAGGTAGGTTAGGATCATGGGTTGTATAAAACACAATCCATAGTAAAAAACAGGATAATATAAGACTAATAAGAATATTTGACTATAAATAGTGATGGCATGAATGTCTGTGACCCAAAGAAAAAAATTTTAGTTGTTGTTGTTAGCTATATTATAGACTAACTTCGTTGTCAATCTCTACGTAAATGCTGAAATGAACAGAAGTAGCAAAAGCTTCTTTAACTGTTGCAATTCTGAGTGCATTTTTGAAGAATTATGAAGCTAAGAAATAAATCTTCATAGAAGTGAAGACAGCTGATCAGAGGAGCAGTGATATTCCTCATTTGTGAGTGATTTTTTTTTTTTTTTCCTTTCTTTTCAGGCTCCTTCATTAATATATCCCAGATGATTGCTTGTGTAGGTCAGCAGGCTATCAGTGGGTCCCGCGTTCCTGATGGATTTGAGAACAGATCCTTGCCTCACTTTGAGAAGCATTCTAAGGTAATTCTGTATGTTTACAATACACTGTAAAGAAAAGTGAAACAAATTGCCTTAAGCCATTTTAAGAAGGACACATGATAGAATGTGTTGTCATGACATGGTGAAGAAAAAGGATCACATATGGTGAATCTAAAATGTTTTGAATGTGATTTGGGAGTTAACAGTAGTGCTGTGAATTGCCATAGGATGTCTAGTTAGCTTTAATTTTTACAGCTAAGCCTTGCTTAGACCTTTCTAATTTAGTGAAATTAAACTAAGTCTGATGATACATTAAAAATAATTTGTTAAAGTTTCTCTCTTGTGTTCTGTTTCACTGCACTAAGACTTTTCAGGACAACTGCTGGGTGTGTGTTAGTATCTTTAGACAGGTGAAACATGCCAGATAAACCATTCTGGAGTCTTATTTTCTTTTCCCCCTAGGATAGATATCATGGCCTACTCTGAACATTCTGTGTTGGAGTTCTGTTCTACAGGAAGCAATAGAGAGTCTCGTGCACTTGTTAATAAAATTCAGTGAAGTTTTTTTTTTTTTAAACTGCTATCTGAAATCTAATGGATCAGTTGAGAAGGTTCTAGGTACCATCCATCAATCTTGTTAGTGTGTTAGTCAGATAACTCAAGTGTCAGATGGTAGCCATGACACTTACATTTGTCACCGAATGTCCAAATTTCAACTTCTGAGTTCTGTAACATAAAATCTTTTCTTTTCTGAATAAAACAAAGAAGAAAATAACTTCATGGATTAGATGAGAAGGTGAAAGTTAAATTTTAACTCTAGCTTTTTTACTGATTTAGAAAGCACTACCTGTTAAAATAACAACAAAAAGTGATCTTCTAAGGTGAACCTCTTTGTAGCCTATACATTGTTGTATGTGATCATGGAGGCCATTTGGTGTTATTTGACTTAAAGGGGTGCCTGCATAAAGTTCATTGGCAAAAACTCTTCTCAGAGGTGAGGGCAAACTATTGGAAAGAATTGGTTACGTACATATCTCCAGTCACATTTTTTCTGGATTCCTTAGTCCTCAGCACTGCAAATACCTTTGCTATACTACACCACCTTTTCAACTTTTGTAACTTTAAGGGAGGCCGAAGAGTTAGAAATTGGTGTAGTGTTTGCAAGGAATGGCAAGAAGCATGACAAGGCTTGTAGGAGGAGGAACAAAATCTATTAGATTAGCTTGGATGAACTAGGCAAGGGTTTCAAAGCCTTTATTCAGATCTAAAATGCAAACATTGAACTTCAAAGCTAAATGCAGCTGAGAATTGCTCTGTGTTTGTGTGTGTATGTATTGGCTGACTATCTGAAAGAATTTAGATGACACGTTTTTTTCTGTAACATGGATACAGAATGTACATTGCATTTTAACTGTTTTTTCCCACTCTTCTCTGTAGCTCCCAGCAGCAAAAGGCTTTGTTGCTAATAGCTTCTATTCTGGGTTGACTCCCACTGAATTTTTTTTTCATACAATGGCTGGTCGAGAAGGTCTGGTTGACACAGCTGTAAAAACAGCTGAAACTGGATATATGCAGGTAACTGTCAGTGGAGTGGGGGTTTTATCAGTCTTGCAAAAGGAGGATATTTCTTATGGGCAAGTTGAGGTGAGGGGTGGGGGAGAACTGCATACATTATGTGTACATATGTTTGGTTTTAATGTAACAGAGAGTAATTTATACTGTGAAATACATGACTGCTCTATTCTCTGGTAGTCGTGAGGTTTGTAAACCAGACCTTGGGCAATGGTACAGTAACATGCTTGTATTAAGCTGTTTCCTTAAGAGGGTGTCAGAAGCCCTTGTTCTGTGGAATACTTGAGGACTACTTTCTATGTAGTGTGTGTTCCTAAAACCATGTGAATGATGGAAGCTTTGTCCATACATTATAACACAGATTTGAGTTGTGAGTGCTTTTTCAGATACAGTATTTCAACAATGAGAACCCAAAACCACAAATCCCTGCTATTTAAAAAAAGATTGTCTGGATGACAGAAATATGGCTAAAGTTCCTTTTCAGCATCTGTCCTCTTTAGGTAACACACACCTTGGCTATTAGACTTGGACTTAAAGTTCTGTAAGGTGTTGGTGTCTTTGGCTGTATCTCCTGTGAAAATACAGGTCCCTCCAACAAAGCTTCTTGCTATTATGAGCAGTCTTAAGACTTCAGTGAAAATATTTAAGTAGTATTTTAAGTATAGTCCTCTTCCCAGTGCAACAGGCAATAGAAAAGCCAAGATAATTTGGGGCTGGGGACACATTCAGAGATACACAAGTAAGTCTACAAAGACTGAAATCAGTTCCTTTTGGGGTGGGTGACTAATTAGACCATTTGTCTCCCAAACTAACAGAATAATGTTTGCATGTGTGTAAGTATATACAAATATTTATAAATATAATAAGCAACCTGCAAAATATTTTTCCTCATCAACTTTCACCCTGCATGAATAAATTGTAGCACTTGGACTTCGGAATTTAAAGAGAAATCTTAACATTTATTTCATCTTACCTTCTTCCTTGGTGAAAAAAAAAATTACCATTTTATATTCTTTACTGAGCTAACTTACTTTCATAGAACAATGCAGTCCGTCTTTTGAGTAAAAACATTTTTAACCACTAATGCTTCATAGCATGCCTTCTTTTTGGGAGGTGGAGGAAGGAAGTTGGTAGTAAAGGGATTTCCCAATGCAAAGAATTAATGTAACAGAAGTAGCTAACACTGGTAGGAAAATAGTAGCTATTGGCTTTGACAGGTGGGCTCTTTGGTTTTTGTCAGTGAAAATAATAGTTGACTAGTTTTGCTTCCATAGGCAAAAAGCATTGTATCCCTTGAGAAATAAACCTGATTGGAAGAACATGAAAAAAAAAACCAACCCCAAACCAAAAAAATTCCTCAGACTATAATACCAGCCGGGTTAGCTCAGTTGGTTAGAGCATGGTGCTAATAACGCCAAGTTCACAGGTTCAGTCCCTGCTCACTGCAGGGGGGTTGGGCTCAATGATCTCTCAAGGTCCCTTCCAAGCCAAAGCATTCTATGATTCTATGATAATAGGTTCTTGCAGCTTAGCTAGGTTTCTTATATGATGGAACTTCTGTGTGGCGAATTGTGTTGTTGCTTTACATTTTGTTATTGTTGGCTTTCATGTTCTGGGGAATGTACAGTAAAGCCCTAGGGATAATGTGTGACTTAAAATAGGTTTTCATGCCTGCTAATCACTGTGTCAGATTTATTTCTTGAGTCCAGTTTCTATTACTTTTTATAATCCCAATCAATAGCTATTTTTAAAAAGATCCTATTTACTTTCCTTCTCTCCTTGCACTTCCCCCCCCCGCCCCTTCAGAGACGGCTGGTAAAGTCACTTGAAGATCTTTGCTCACAGTATGATTTGACAGTAAGAAGTTCTACTGGTGACATTATACAGTTTATTTATGGAGGAGATGGCTTGGATCCTGCAGCCATGGAAGGGAAGGATGAACCGCTGGAATTCAAGCGAGTTCTAGACAATATTAGGGTAAGGATTACTGAAATCTTTGTTGGAAGTGTGAAAAGACTATTAAGCATGTATGAGGAAGTAGTAAATTACAGGGAGAATTGTTTCAGTTGAAGTATTTATTTTTAAATTGCCTTTTGAGTGGTCCTGGTCAGTCTTTCAGCATATGTATACTAAGAGTTACAGATTTTTTTTTTTTTTTTTTTTTTTCATTAAAACAAAGAAACTTTTTTTTTTTTTTTTTTTTTTTTTTACATTAGAACAGAGCAACTAGGACCAACCTGTGCATAAGCTGTGAAAAAATAGATTTTTCTTCTGTGCTTAGACATAGTTCTAGGGCCTAATATCCAGCTCACTAGATAAATTACTACTGGCTTAGTTGGGTACTAGATTGCACTTACATTACACAAAGTAATTCCTTATTAAATCAAGACATGCATGTTCTTTGTGTTGAACCGGTTCTTAAGTCAGAGGCCTGATGTGTTGTTGAATAACTCTGGATGTACTGTGATGTTTCAAGAGCGGTATTGTTTGGTTTTGGTTTTGTGTCTTTTTTGTTTGTTGGTTGTTCTTCCCTCCACCCCCCAACAAAGATAAAAGCCTTTTGCTGAAATGACTGTTCAGATTTCTGTAATGTGAGTGTAATAAATGGATAGAATTAGAAATGTGCGTGTGTATACCTTCAGTTTTACATAAATAAGTAGAAATGTATGTGGAACTAATCTTCACAGTAGTCTGGTATTATATAGTAAAAAACCCCAACCAAACAAAACAGAAAAACCCAAAACCCCCAAACAACCACAACTAAAGAATACTGTTAATCAATTGTATGTATCTATATTCTGTGTCTTTACAATGAAGTTTTTGTGCATGTTTTATGTGAAGAAGTAACTTTTTTTCCTCTTAAGGCTGTATATCCATGCCGAAGTGAACCAGCCCTTAGTAAAAATGAGTTGGTGTTAACATCTGAGTCCATCATGAAGAAGAATGAATTTCTTTGCTGCCGAGAGAGTTTCCTGCAGGTAATTGTATCACTTCCTTATCACCTGTGATTAACTTTTCCTTATAAATCAAGGAAATTAAATAAAATGTTCTTACCAATCTGTAGAAGCAATGGCTGAATTTTATGCATTAGTAGCAGGAATAGTAGTTTGTTCAGTAATACATTTACAGGGCAGGGAGGTATGACTATAGTAATTTTAATTCTTATTATGGTAGTTGTTCATGTTCACCACAGGAACATTAGAAATGGGAGAAAAATCTAGTGATTTTTGAGTAGGTGTCACTGATCTGAGATATCTTGCTGGAATTTCTCTCCATAGCAATACAGTACAGTAATTATGTGCTTCCCCTGGGATGATGAGAAATGAAATAATACTTACTGACTGTATGTAAGAAACCACTAGGGCTGAGTCTTATACTCCATTATTATGCATATGTTTTGATATTATCAACTTTCTGAGTAACTGTTTTTACTCATTTGCGTGTTTTCCTGATAAATACCAGCTGTGCACTTACACCTCTTTACCTTGCTTTCTTATGATACTAACCCAGCAAAAACCTTGTGCCATATGAAATGCTTTTCTGGATAGGGCTTATCTTCTGGGGAGTACTTATATGTCTTTTAAGGATGAGTGAATGTTCACATGACTGCTTGCACTTTGAATTGTAAAAGTCCATTTGTTTGAAAGAGCATTAAACAATTTTAATACTTACGAGAGCAGCCACACTTAAGACTACTTTGGGAGACAGTGATTAAAAACTGTAGAATTAACCTGCCTGTGGACATGTAAAGCTGTTACCTTGATGAACCTTCTGATTACTGTCAGTGATGAGAACAACATGAATTTAGTGACCTGCTTTTGAAGGGTTTCTTTTTAATAGATCAGAGTGCTTCAGGGCAGAAGGTGGCAAAACTAGTAAGCAGTTGTTTATAAACCTGATTTGCAATTCCATTGCTAGAGCAGACTTGAAAAATAATTACATCCATACTTGAAATATGGTGTAAATCTTAACTGCATCTCTGAAGGAAATAAAAATGCAATTTACTGATATCAATTTATTGGAGATTTGGTTGTTCTTTGAGGTATACGTATTTTTAATCATATCTTGAAAATCTAAATAATTTATATTAATTTCAGAAGCACAGATATGACTACATCACCTTAATGGTAATTAGTTTAACTTATGATTTTTAAGTTTTAGATACTGTTACATTTTCTTCTTTCCTTTTCTTTTCTGTTCATCCTTGAAGACATTAACTGAGACAGGTTATGAAAAATATAATGAGGTAATTGTAGCATGTGTGTGCACTGTGTGAGCATTAATGTTAGTGCTTTTTAGCTAAAGACGTGTGTATAGTGCTAAAGTAACTGACTAGCATATATACATTACTGCTTATTAAATTACAATGTAGGCGTTCATCACAATAATTTAACCAGTTCCTTTTTAATGGTGAAAAACATAACATGCGAATTAATCCCCATAGTTAAACTTGAGGATTTGGAGGATTTGAGGAGGCTTTCTTTCAGTACATAACTTTCTTTTCTAAAACTCATTCTTTCAGTCTTTAGGGATACGAGCATGTTTTTCTGACGTTTTTCTGTCCCTTCCTCCACTCCTCCCTTCCAAAACAGAGATATTTCGTATCACTGTTCTTTTACCAGGAGGTTCCTATAATGGGCGTGCCCACTCTTGTCCAGAAAACAGTATGTCTAAATAGCCTTTTTCAAACAGACTAGCGTTCATTCTGCCTGCACTCTGCCCTCACCAGAGGGAATTCAACTGATGAAAAAGCATATTGTTGGCTGGCACAGTTTCAATTGTGTTAATATTTTAACGTTATTTGAGTTTATTAAGATACAGGTGAAAGGAAATTTTTGTTTTCTTCTTACTGAAATTGGGAAAATCTTGAGAAACCCTCACAATTAAAAAAAAACCCCAAACCAATCATTTTTCTGTGGTTTGTTTGCGATGATAAAATATGAGTATTGGGGAGTGTGGTGCAAACATGGAAAAGGCTGAGCTCACAGCCAGTCAGTGCTGGCATATGCAGAGCTGACCCAGTGGGTCTGCCTGGACTTGAATGGATTATTGCTGATTCTTGTGGGATTGTCTATACCGCTCTGTGTTTCAGTGGGCTTCTTAACTATGAGGATTCTTATATTAGCAGTGCTTCATGTATATAAATGATCTCACTAGCTGAAGTGCTGGGAAACATCATGCAAACACCTGGGTGACTAGGCTTTATACCCTGGACTGCTATTTTGACTAAATGTCAGCTCTGTAGGAGCTGACAAGGTCCACGTTGAGCTAGAGCTTACTGAGTCAGTTTGGTGCCTTTCTGTTAAATGGGTCCAGACTAAAAGACTTTATGGGTTTAGATAATGTGAAAGAACCAATGGTTTCTTAAGCTCGCTGTGGAAGTTACATAGCTGTGCTCACAGAGGACAGTGTTGCACTGAAGGCGATAAGTCCATAGAGACAGGCCGGCTCAGCAAAGAGTGAGCTACATTTTCTTTCTATTTGTAGTGTAAATTAATCCATAGTTTGGATAAACTGCCAACAGATAATTAAGTTGAGAGGAATAGGTCATTTCCTCTTTTAGTTCTTGTGCATGAATAAAACTTCTGACAATGAAAAATAAATGTGTTCAGAGATTTATATCTCACCTTTTCTGGCTTTAGTGTATGGAAGTAATGTATCATTTGAGTACCTTATTTTTACAATTTAGAGTGATATATAACAATTGATTTAGTATGTTGGAGGTTTTTGGGGGTGTTTTTGTTTGTTTGGGGGTTTTGTTGTTTTTTTTAAACTATGTTGGAACTCAGGGACTGTCAAAGAGGAAAAGTTGACAACAAGTAGTTTGCCATAATGCTATTTGCAGTCCTATGCTGTTTTGGTCTTAACTCTGCCCTATTGTGGACTTCCACCATATGGCCATATGACCAATTTTTCAGCCATTGCGACAACTTCTTTTGAGGAGTTGGTGGTGGTGCGGTTGTTATTACTGTCCCCTGGTTTTATGTGAGTAGGTGGAAATTTAAAAGAACTTAGTCTTTGGTGTTCTGGAGGGAGAAGTTAGTGTTACATCTGCTGCATTCTTCCCCTTCCACTACTCCCTTCCTGCCCCTCCACAAAAGAAACATCTTTCAAGATAGAATTACTTTCAAAGTCTCTCCTTAGTGTGGTGGTTTTTTTTTCTCTAGATCAAATGTTCTGGATGATCTTCTGTAAGTCCTGCAATATTCCTTATTTTATGCACCCATAGTAAAAAGATTATTTTTTTCTAATACCACGTTATTGCTTAACACTTAAATAAAGCAAATTACCAAATTTATGCAAAGATTTCAGGGTCAAAAACCTTTAAAATGGCAAAATATTTCATTCGTGAGTTAATACAACTTACTGCAGGGCAAAAGGGGCAGAAACGTATGAATGCATCCCGTTGACATCCAAGTGGGGAAACAACTTGAAGCATCCATTCCAGCAGGACACTTCCGTTGTTGGTTCTTTCGTTTGAGCTTTGTTCTAGTATTCACAGAAAATAATGTACTGTCTGAAAATACCTTGAATAACAGTAAGAATGTTGTTATTTTGAGAATCTGAGGATTCTGTTAGGATGTAATAGATGTGTTTTGACAATGATTTATGAATTCAGTTGTTTAAAAAAAAAAAAAAAAAAGACAAAAAGCAAACAAAAAAGCCCCCCAGTCACTCATATATTTACTCAATTTTGCAAGTAATTTTCAGTGCCTGGCTACTGAAAGGTTGGAAGGAGTCCAGTACTGAGTGAAGAAGAGGTGATATTATATAATCCTCATCCTGGTTGTCAGGCAGGACTAATGGGGTGGAAAGGATTTAAAAGGACTCTAAAAATCAAACCATTCACTTCTCCACAGAGGCTTTCTTAAATCATTGTTGAAGTAGATGGGAAGGATTTCCTCTTGCTTTTTGTTTATATTTTGTTTTGATAACCCTGTGTTATGGTAATGACTTGCACTGAGTCCACTTTTATGGAAAAGTTTAATCATGGACCTCGTATTTCATGACTTTTAGTGTACATATTTATATCCAAAGCGTAATGCCCAAATGATGCTTCATAGAAATGTTGGATGTTTTTCTAACAGTATTGTTTCCATTTATGTTCCAGTAAAGACTGCCAGAACTACTTTTGGGTAAACATGCTAAGAGAGTGAAAGGCTTATATACTACTACGTGCTAAATGCAATTATCTGCAAGACATCTCCACAGCATAAAGAAGTTATTTGAACTATGTTAGGTAGAGACTGACACGTATATATCAATTTTGAGGGTTTCCCCCCGCCCGAAGTAAAGTACATCTTGAATGTCTGAAATCTGTCCAGCAGGTGTCCTTTATATATACTTCCTCTCTTGCTCTACAGGCTTTCCACTTTGACTTATTTTGAATACTGAGAAATGAGTGAGAATACGTTTGTGTCAGTATACTCAGAAAATAAGAATTTTGAGGGTGGTTGGTGGGTTGTTTTTTTTTTTTTTTTTTTAATGGTAGAGTCAGTTTCAGTAAGTGGTGGGTAGGAGGGAAGGATCAATCAAAGTCAAATCTCTTCAGTTTTCAGTGTGTGCTCAGGAAGGATGCTTTTATTCAGCGTGGACCATATTCCTCATGTACTGCTACTAATTTGTGGTTACACAAGAGTGAATCTGGTTTGCTAAATTCTAGTGTATGTGTGTGTCTAAGTTTTGATGTTCCTCTCTTCATATTGTGCAATGTTAATTTATTATTGTAAACATTTCATTTGGAGCTCTAAGCAAATAACTTACTGCCGAAGACTTCAATATGAAGACCATGTCTTTGCTTACTGTTGTTTTAATGTCATTTCAGGAAATTAAAAAATTCATCAAAGGTGTTTCTGAGAAGATAAAAAAAACTAGGGACAAGTATGGCATTAATGACAATGGCACAACAGAGGTAAATAGTTTCAAGGAGTAATTATGTAGTTATTTTAAATCTTCATAAGCTATTGCTTTTCCAACTGTTCTGTTCTCTTTTCAGCCACGAGTTTTGTATCAGTTGGATAGGATTACTCCAACACAACTAGAGAAGTTTCTAGAGACTTGTAGGGACAAATACATGAGGTAAGTGTTTAGCCTGTTATTTTGTCCATTTATCCCGCCCCCCAATTTAGTGTTTGTTGCTTACTTTGCAATCTAGGAGTGTATTTTGCTATTTTTACTGTATGAACGTTGGTTCTCTTGTGAATGCAGTGCAAATAAAGGATAAGAAATAGTTGGCCCCAATGACAAACATTGCAAGACGAAGGTGGAATGCAAAAAAAAAAAAAAAGAGAGGGGGAAAAGAAAAAAAAAAAGCATTGCCATCTACAGGTGGGTTTGTTAAGGCAGAGTTGAGTCTTATACAGCAGTTCCACAGATCTGACAGAGCTGAGGTTTTTACCTTTCTGTCTTGACTCATTATCAGATTCTTTCATTAGAAGACTTAATAATTTGTTTGGTTTCCTTCACATTGTACAAAAAATGCTTTATATTTAATTTTGTATTTCTTGAACAAGCAAAGCTCTCTGCTTGTGTTTAGGCACCTTTCTTCTGAAATAGTAGTAATCATACCAGTGAACACAGTTTTCTTCTATAGCTACTTATTAGTTATATCCGCAGATCGTGTTTTGACAGGAGATTCTGGTAAAAGCCAAAAGTGGTAGGATTCAGAGTGATAGAGGATATTGTTTAAACACTTAACTTTTTTATACCTGCTGACACGAGTGTTCCCTTGCCCTCTGGCAGGAGATTGTTCCAGAGCTCCGAAGAGTCCATACAAAATAGTGTCTGAATAGATCAGTTTCAAATCCATATGAATCTTGATGGTTATTCTTGATCTACACAGTCTGTGAATAGTTCTGTTACACTTCGTGCTAATGTGTTCTTGAATCTGTTATGCACTTGTAGGAGCTTTTTATTTGTTACTCTTTGTCTCTAACAAGACAGTGATAGTGTGGATATTTCCATCTTTTTATCCATTGAGGATTGTTTCATTTACTTAGACTCCCTGGATTTGTTCATTGGCATGCAGCCAGTGGTGACATCTTCTTTGTGGCCTCACACTCACCTGCATCAATTGTTTATTAGTATTTTTTCTTGTTCTTGAAGATTCATGTATATGTTAAATTCATAACAATTTTAAAGCAGTTACCAGTTTTCTGCTTTCAGTTATTAGCATTACTTGCTTACATTTGTCGTCAGTGTTCTTAAACATGAATTGCCTATTTTACTGCAGGAAGTTGTTTTAGCATACTATATTATGCTGATCTGACAACTGAAAGATGGTACCCTTGAAAAGGATCTAATTGCTCTGATGATTGTTTTTGTTTTATAGACTGTTACCATTATACCAGGAGAAACCTCTCAGCTGAGATTTCAGCACTTTTTGGGTAGATGTGACATGAATGTAAAGAGATCTTCAAATAACACTGAAAACAATAACCTTGACTTAAATAATTTTGTTCTACAGTCACCCAGAGTTAATTCCTTTAGATGTTACAAGCTAAATCACTATTAGACAGCAACTGTACTTGGTAAGAGTTCATCAAGGAAAATGCCAGAAGCTGCTGCAAGTCACATTGATTTAGGAAGTGGTATTGTGCCGTAAGTTCAGAGGTTGTGTTTGCTCTAGAAAAGCAGATCACATTGTACTCTGCGCGAGCTTAAGAATGCTAACTGCAGGATCTGAACAAAACTGTAGGGGAGAATGTAAACCACCCCTCATGTCTTATTTTGAGATCGCATGTTGTAGAGTAGCAGTTTCCATTTTTTGTCCTGTAAGAACAGCCAGTTCTCGAAGTACATAAATTTTAGAAAGGGACAAATGTGGGAACGAGCCCATTACATGCATAACTTGAAGGGAAAGTAGGTCATTAGTATAGGGCTTTTGAATAAGATGGAAACAAGAAGGCATTAATAGCTGGATTTTGCTCTGGTTAAAAAGTAATCTGCATAATAGTTTCTTAAGGAAGACTTAATAAAGGTCTCTCATGCTTAAACATATAAAGGGGAGTTTTGGAAATGTTAGCATATGGGATGTCCCTCAATGCGGAATCCTGAATCTATTGCTTGATGCTTAGGAGAAGGAGGACAGGCGTTTTGTTTTCTGTTGTGGGTGTTATACTGGACCTGTGGAAAGCCTGTATGACAGGGCATCTTCTTGCCTTGTGTGAGATCAGTCTTGAGTACTGGTGACCTTTTAATCTCTCTCCTGTTTGTTTATTTAAAAATATTAACAAACTTCTCATATATCTACCAGAATAGTTTCTGTCTTTGCTTGCTTAGAATTTTATGCCTTATTGAGTTCTATGTCTCTTTCTGTATTTTCTAATGAGAGAATTTACTTATCAGGGCACAGATGGAGCCTGGTTCTGCGGTAGGAGCTCTTTGTGCACAGAGTATTGGTGAGCCTGGCACACAGATGACTCTGAAGACTTTCCATTTTGCTGGCGTTGCTTCAATGAACATTACTTTGGGTGTGCCAAGAATCAAAGAAATCATTAATGCTTCAAAGGCTATTAGGTACTAACATTGTTTTGGTTTGAGTTTTTTCCCTTTGCCTAAGTGAAACCTGATGGATAAATTTGCAGTATGTGATAGCATTTCCCTGTTCGCAGTAACATACTAGACAGCATTGAATGCATGGAATGCCCAAACAAGAAAAATCTAATGTCTGTCCAACTACATGATACTCAGGGCCAGAGAAGAGACAAGTTTTATTTTTCTGAAAATCAAATGGGGTAAAGTGGTTACGTATTAAGTTGAATATGCCATTAGGCGTCTCTCGTATATTGTGAAACTTTCTGGTGTTTAGCAGTAGTTGAAGCATACCTATTCCTAGGTATCCATGAAGCCATACTTAAATAAATAATACTAGAATAGTGTACACCATGAAAATAGTCACTTGTTGTGTTAGAATCTCTTGTGTGTTTGCTTGTTTTTAACAGCTTGAAGTACATGAACAATAATTTCCTTAAATGTATCTGAGGAAGCTGAAGGTCTCTTTATTACCAAATACTACTCTAGATATGAGATGGGTTCCATAAGGCAAGCTGTAATTCAAATTGCCATCTGTGACCTAGCTGAGCTATTTCCTAACTGGGGGCGTTTTTTTGTGTATGTGTTTATTCTTTGTAGCACCCCTATTATAACAGCACAGTTGGACAAAGATGATGATCCTGATTTTGCCCGTCTGGTTAAAGGAAGAATTGAGAAAACTTTATTGGGAGAGGTAGGAAAAACTGTGTTATTGCTGATGCTTTAAATGTAAACACTAGCGAATTGCTATGGGGCATTTTAACCATTTTCACACGAGAACTGTTTTGTCCTTATCTCTTAAAGATTTCAGAATATATTGAGGAAGTGTTTCTTCCAGACGATTGTTTCATCCTAGTGAAGCTGTCTTTAGAGCGCATTAGACTGCTGAGATTAGAGGTGAGTTGTTCAGTTCTTACACAGAATATGCCTTGGGTAAGTTCCAAAGGGTCTCTTAATCCCGTCTCAGAAACAGTAATCAGACCAGTGGAAAGTTAAAAAAAGAAAGTGAACAAAGGATAGGCTGTGGCTATGTTACATGTGGATTTTTTTCCCTTTTTTTTCCTTTGTAAAGCAGATAATTTTTGCTTTATTTGGAAATGAGAGAACATATGTTCGTTTCTTGGTGTCTCGCTAAATATAAGGATGACATTTCTGTCCGTTAGTTAACATACAGGCCGGCACCCTCAGGATAGGATAGTATTTCATGCAATTTGTAAGAGTAACAATTTTTGTTTATTTTTCTGCATTCCACTTTGTTATATTCTGTTGAAAGACTGCTGCATGTACTTGAGCAGGTTTATATATGTTAAGAGAGATACCCTGATGTTTGCTGGCTGACTTTTGCCACAGGTGAATGCAGAGACTGTGCGCTACTCTATCTGCATTTCTAAACTCAGAGTAAAGCCTGGGGATGTTGCTGTCCATGGAGAAGCAGTTGTATGTGTGACCCCTCGTGAAAACAGCAAGAGTTCAATGTATTATGTATTGCAGTCCCTGAAGGAAGAACTACCAAAGGTAAACACAAAGGCTGTCTCATGTTTTTGTGGGAGGCAGTCAGTAATAATAATCTGGAGTTCTGTGGTGGGAAGATGACATAATTATTGTCAGTATTGACAATGAGCATTACTGTACACATCGAAGTTACTAGGTTTTTTGTTTTGTGAAGGTTGTAGTGCAAGGTATACCAGAGGTTTCCCGAGCTGTCATTCATATTGATGAACAAAGTGGAAAGGAAAAATATAAACTTCTAGTTGAAGGTGATAATCTGCGAGCTGTTATGGCTACTCACGGAGTGAAAGGAACAAAAACATCCTCTAACAACACTTATGAGGTAATGTTCAGATGGGTACTGTGGGTTTTTCCCCCATAGCATCTTTATTACAAGTGCTTGTTTGTGCTCAGATGCAGCAGTTGATACCTAATGAAGCCTGATTTCACTAATAGTTGTCAGAATGCATTAACGCAAGAGAATAATTCAACTGGCAGCACTATTCACTTCAGGGAAGCTTTTTCTATAAATACTTTTAAACCAGAGAAATGCAAAAGGCTAATAATGGAAATGGAGTATTATCTGACATCAGATGGTATTTGTTCCAGGAATATACTTGCTCCAAGCGTTTGGTTCTTCATTAATCTAACGTAATCTCTTATGTAGGTAGAGAAGACACTAGGAATTGAAGCTGCTCGAACGACCATTATCAATGAGATTCAGTATACAATGGTGAACCATGGTATGAGCATTGACAGGAGACATGTTATGTTGCTGTCTGATCTAATGACTTACAAGGTTTGTACTATGCTTTTTCTACGCGTTACATTGGCCTGTTTACACAAATGAATTTTACCATGTTTGAGGACGATGGGTGAGCTAGGGAGGTGGAAATCAGTTACAGGTTTAAGGAATTGTAAGTTGTACTGACCGAATATTGTTGTTTGTATATCGAACAAAATGCTTAATTAATCTAGTTCTTGGGGGTAGAGGGGAGAAGGTCTATTTTGACTGAAAACAAGTTGATATAATGAATAAGGAATCATCATTTTGTATTGGAAATAGGAATCCCCAAAATTGTGGTATGAAAATCAACTGTTTGGGTAACCATGCGTGCAATTTAAGGCTTGCTGTGCAGAAAACCACATGGGGTGTGGTTCATAGCAGCTGCACTGTATATAAGAGTCAAAGGATACAGACATTACAAATAGAATCAGATTACATGTAGAGTATGAACAGTCTTTCAGAACTTGTTAGTAGAAAATGATATCTGTTCTTTATTGATTGACTTTATTATTCGCATCCAATATGTTTTTTAGATTTGAGTACACTTAGTGAAGTAAGATTTTCCACTTTGCTTGCCAGAGTGCAAGGGTTTAATTTGGGTAGAATGGATGAAGGAGTTCTGACTTCTCCCAGAACTGTAGGGCTTTGTTGTACTGAGCTGCAGCAGTCCTCAGGGCTGGCCATGTGGAGCTGCAGCACAATAGTGGAAAAGGGCATCAAAGTGCAGTGTTTTACACTTGTTGGACTCCTCGCATGCATTCTTTTGTCTGTACTGCTGACTTGTGCTTCTGTGCACAGTCTGTTATAATCAGGATGTTCGTTAGAAACAGAGGCAGAAATAAACCAAGTTAGTTTAAAAAGCTAATTACTTTTTTTCTGGAGAGTGAAAAAAATGAAGATTTAACATCTTCTGTAATCTCCTGGCAGCTGAAGGCTGATTTATCAGTAGACAATAGGCAGTAGCTTCAGCATAGTGCTCTCAGACCCTGCTAAATTTTGTAGCTCAGCAACTAGTTTATAATTTTGTGTTTTTTCTCATGGCCATGTTTCTTTCAATCTTTCCAATATTCTTGCTTAAAAAAAAAAAAAAAATCTATTAACCATTTATAACAGCTTCTGTTGTGTATAATAATCACTTGTTATATTCAAATATTGATTACTACCAAACTATTAACCTTCAGAATGTTTAACTGGGAAGCAGCATATTATGACAATGTTATATTGTAGATAGTAATCTTTTTACTTACGACTTGTTTCATGTGTGTGTTAGAATAAAAACTACCTTTCTGTTGTTCACTTGATTTCCTTCAGCAAACATGACTGACTTCCAGCCACTATTGTGATAGTCTTTCTTTGGGTTTTTCTGTCAATCAAGGGTGAAGTGCTGGGCATTACTAGGTTTGGACTGGCAAAAATGAAGGAAAGTGTGTTGATGCTGGCTTCTTTTGAAAAGACTGCAGACCATCTCTTTGATGCTGCATACTTTGGACAGAAGGATTCTGTTTGTGGTAGGTATTTCAAATTCTGTTGCAGTTTGTGGTCTTAACCCAGCATCTGTAAATCTCTTCAAAGCATTGGATTTTTGCCCTCATTAAGCTTTCTGTTCAGCTTACATGTCAAAAACTTCAGGTCTGAGGCTGATCCATACTTCTTGATCCCAGAAGCTTGGTGGATGTTTCTCTACTTCTGATCTCAGAGATCTTGAAGTCAGTTGGACATTTGTTGTATGTTTCTTAAAGTAGACTTCTAGTAATTTGGTTTTACTCCTCACCACATAGCTCAGTGAAATACCAGGAAATTTGTGCCACTGTCAGTAGTTCTGTTTTTTCAGTTGTGAAAGTTTGTGTATCTTCAACACCTAGAGCTGATTAAGGAATCCAGTGCCCCGTTCAGTATTTAGGTTTTGTTTTCAGGCCTACTAAAAAGCAGGAAAGCATATATGTCTCAGGTAGCATAGGTGAGTATCGTACTGTGCATAATGATTGCTTATCTGATTTGTCAGTTGTACCTAGAAATAGAAAGGTGAAGTTCTTGACTTCTCCAGTTAGTTCTGATCTAAATAGATAAAAATTGTGTGTGGTTTTTTGTTGGTTTGGTTTTGGTTGTGTTTGGGGGTTTTTTTTGTTTTAAATTAGAAGCCTTGTTTATCAGTACTCCATTCATTAACAGAACAGGGAAGATCCCTGTCCTGAGAAATTTCTTTTTAAATGTATCTGTTCTTCAGTTTTAAAGTTAAGTTCATTAACATACACTGAATCATCTCCTCACTGGATTAATGAAAGAATCCAATAAGAGTTTAAAAATACATGTATACATGCACACAGGTGCATGCATGCACGCATACATACAGCCAAACAGAAAGCTCAAATAGATGAGTTTTGTCATTCTGTTTGTCTCTTAATTTTGCATTTCTGCCACGTACTCTAATATTCGGATTTGAAATTATTTTTCTTTTTTTAAACTCCTTTGCCCCCATTCCTTCTAGATGTCCTTCTCCTTTAAGCTACACACATTTTGGTATGATTTGTTAAAAAGTCTCTATCTAGTAGGTTAAGCAGAGAAAAGGACAAGTAAGCAGGTTTCACCCTCTTCATCATCTGTTTATGTAAGGCCTACCATCCTGGAGCTGTAACTGCTCATTTGGAGTTTCTGGGTGCTAATGAAATACAAAAATATGAATGTATTATGTTAAGGTTTCCTAGTTTGTGTGTATTTCTAGGTGGTCTTAGCAAGTGTAGTCAATTTCAAACAGTGCTTTGCAGACAGTATATTTTCTGAATCACTGGAATCTGTTAGAAACCTTGGTATTACTAGTTTGTATTTTAAGAACTCTGCCACTTTCTGGCTATCCATCATTCCACATGAGTGGGATTTGCTTATTTTTTTTAATTATTATTTGCCCATGATTAAAGCAAAGATCCTATAGGAGATTGAGAAAAGATTTTCTTTTCCTTACTGTCCAGGATGGAATCAAAGTCCCCTCTGAGCTGGTAAAATCTTGTTTTGAACAATATGGAAACCAAAGATCTTTTCATGTTATAGAAATGCTTTAGCTCTATGAAAGTTTTTCATATATAAATGTCTTAGTTCAAATAAGGAAATGGAATGGACAAAACAGAAAATTGTTGTGTGTCTTCCAAAACTGAAGAGATGATACTGGCTTGCTTGTATGAAAAAGTGCTGTGCAGCTGGCCACTGTTAGTTATCTCTTTGAATTACTATGAAAAGACTCTTACATGCTCATGGCTTTGCATCTCCGGAGCAGGAAAAAATCATAAACATTGCCAAGAAAAATTAGTGTGTACCCAAAATCAACTATAGGTGCTGAACTGAATGACACCTCAAGTCGGTGCCTCTCCTGAATGTGTGGGTGTAGTTTTAGACCATGTACCCTTTGAATCCCTTTTGTCTTGAAGGATGCTTTTCTGCTCCTGAGAAAATGGGGAACAGCTGATTCCTGCTTTACGTACATAGACAAGCGTTTTCTCTTGAGAATTGCTGATACCACCTTTCAGTGGGCAGAGTGGGTTGAAACTAGAGCAGAAGAGTACATCCAGTTCCAGCAAGCATCCATGGGATGCTGGAAGCAGGATCAACAGGAAGTACTATCTGCAAGCCACTGCTTAGAGATCTAGTCAGTTTACCTTTCTGTCCCCTTCCCAAAGAGCAGCCCACAGCACTCTCATTTCAAACTTAAGAATGGGAACCAATAGCTACCACTCCTGTGATGTTCATTTATGAGGAGGTGGTCTGGAAGGGAAGTGTCAAAAATAAACTCTGCAATAAGAGCAGTGTGACTGACTTCATCTCTAACTAGCTTCTTCTAGCTGAAAGTGAGAGCAGAAGCTCATAGCTGTCAGCCAGATGCTTAGATTTGCAATAGATTATAACTTGTGGTGTTACAAGACATTGCACTGGAGGAGTCTTGGATGGTCACTAGAGCAGAGCGTGCTGCCCTGGCAGTTCTTCTGCCATCAACAACATCATTAGCTTCATCCATCCGATATGATTGCCATTGGTCTTTAGCATTCATTAGTCTGAGCAGATCTATAACATACACTTGGTTGTTAGAGCGGCGTGTTCTGTCTGAACGTTTCCTGCTATACATGACTGCTGTCAGGTGCTACAAACTATTACGTTGTCCATGAGGCAGAGGGGACGTGGGGAGGAAGGGCTTCTGGTCAGAATCTTCATTCATATACACTTAAATTACCAATCAAATCTTGCCAGAATTTTAAGTTGATTTTCATCCTTTGTGCATTCAAAGGTACAGCTTTTTATTGTTACTTTCTTAAACATTTATGTGAAGGACAGTATTCTTATACTCCTGAGAACATGCAGAAGTGTCATTTAGATTATAACAGTATGCAGAGAAAAAAAACACTGGCATCTGATAGCTTGCTTTTAATGTGGAACGGTCTTCGGAAAAGTTGGATACATCAGTAGATCTGGAATATAAATGTGTCAGCACGTTGCTGTGAAAATGTTATGGCTATGAAAAATAGCTGGGACAGATTAAATCTTTAAATTCAAACAAAGCCCTTCTTGAATCATGAAAATGCAAAAAGTGGTCTAGCTAAAGTAGCGGTATGCCTTTTTCACTGGCAAGTTGCGGGGGTTTCAAGGGAACGTGGCCAGATTTGACTGCAGTCTTAGCACTGAATCAGAGAATGAACATGAAGAACTCTGCCTTGCATCTTCTGCTGTTGGCACGGAGTGGAATGTGTCTTCTCCAAAAACAGACCTTCTGAAGCTCTTTCATTGCTAGAGAAGGTGTTTAGGTTAGGTTGAATTTTTCCTTTCTAGAATTTAAATAACACAGACTAAATAACATACTGATCTGGTGACCATAACATTTCATTTTATCTAGCAAAGAGACCTTGGTCTTTACATGTGAGGCTCAAGGAGATTTGGTAGGCAATGCATACAGAATGGACAAATGAAAATAGTTTTGTACATCCTTACTCTTCAGATGTTCAACATGTTTGGGTTTTTTTTTTTCCCCTAGGTGTTTCTGAGTGCATCATCATGGGAATTCCGATGAATATTGGAACGGGACTTTTTAAACTGTTGCACAAAGCAGACAAAGAATCAACCCCTCCTAGGAGGCCTCTGATATTTGATAATAATGAATTTCATATTCCCATTGTTACATAGCACTTGGACATAATACAAGATAGCGAAACAAGAAATAGCAAGAAAACATCATTTAAATTAAGAAATGTGTATTATCAGTTCTGTGTGTCTCTAACTTTGAATTGGTAAGTGAAATACTATCAAAAGAATTTCCAAATTGTTTACCACCTGTTGTTAGTAGAGACCCTGAAAAGAGAGGCTTCTCTGCATCAGAGAGTGGAAATAAATTTAGAGTGGATTTCAGCTGATAAAATTTTCTTTTTCATGTGCTAGAATTAGATCTCTGTGTTAATATTAATGGATGGAAGTTGTAAGTAACTCAGCATTAGACACATGTATTCAGATTTTGTTAAAAAAACCCCGAACTGCAAGAATTCTGTGAGCTTGCACAGAGTGCATTTGGAAATGGCCTTTCAACAGGAGCTGCAGAGGTCAATCTATAGCTGTTAAGAATCGAGACTTCAGAATGCTAGAACTGAGTCTCTGATTAATTCATACTGAGTTAAACTTCAAGAGTGCTGTTGAAAGTGTTTGAAATACTTGTTCTTTGCTTGTGGTTTTTTTAAGTCATTTTTGGTTTATCCCAAGTTATTATCCAATAAATGGCTTTCCTCCCCAGAATTCTGCTTTGGGACGTACCTGCAAGAAGCCGCACATTGTAAAGCTGCTACTAAATTCTGAGATCACTGTTATAAGAACATTACAGATTATAAATAGCTTTGCACATTATAGCAGCTGTTAAACTGCTGGAATCTGTAGTTTACAGCAGTCTTAGTTTTGGGAAAGTTTCATAATTGAGCAGGATCATCTGAACAACCTAGTTTTATTTTAATATATAAAGTAAAAATAGAAAGGGAAGCTGTTCTCATGCATTGTCATGAAGTAATTTGAAAGTATTTTAATCGTTAGCCCACTGGAGCAGTTTTCAGAACGAATATAGAATTTAAAATATTTCAGTGCAGGATGTTTAAATTTATTCTGGTGCTATGGAGGGAAAAGTATCTTAGTGTTTTCTTGTCAGCAGTGTTTGGATATTCAGTGTGCTCATAACATGGCTCAAGGTGGGAGAGAACCAAAACAGAAAAGCTGAAGTTGTGCACTCATGAAGTAAAAGCAGGCTGCTGAATGAGCTAGCGTTTGAAAATGGACGGGTTTGTGCTGCAGTTTGACTTCATGTAGCGACCAAAAGAAAAGTGTAAGGCTACATTCAGAGAATGTTTTAAGTCTTAAGGTGCCACTGTGTTTATTTTTTTAAATCCTCCATGCAGAGAAGACCTGATATGAAATTCAACGTAGCTATTCTCAAATTATTTTGTGTTTTCAGTGTGATACTAAGATATACTTCTGCCTAGATTTTGGCACGGTAAAGATTGAGAATGTAATGCATTTACTATCTGCTCTAAAAGCCATATCCCTTTTAACAATAGAAATTTCAGAATAAATTAAAATTTTCTTTGTGATCTCAGTGAGATTGGCTCTTGCTGATTTGTCTGTGTAGAAGTCTAGCTCTATTTCTTTTCGAAGATGTTAAGTATAAGACAGGTAGGGGCCAAATGGAGAAAGCCTATAAAACTTTCCTGTGGATAAGTACTTGATTTTTATCATGGGAAATTCTACTGTAAGTGCTTGGCATTGTTGTGAATAAAGATTCTTCTGAAGGTGTAAATGGGTGGAGTTTGTATTGGAATGAGTAACTGCCTCTGGTTTTTTTTTTTTTTTTTAAATATAGTGAAATGTGGCTATTTAAATGGTGGTTTTACTCTTGTATGTGTTAAAAGTATTCCGTAAATTACATCTGTTATCATTGTCTTTAACATGACAATAAAAAGAGGCAGAGATAAAGAAAATGTAAACCTTGTGTTTGTTTATTGATGCATTGTATTTGTGCGTAATTAACTTATGGGTGACTTAGCCTCCATCTCCCTCATTTCCTTAGTTATTAAGACAGTGGAGAATTATTGAGCTTAAATGTCGGGTATTTACAACCTAAATGCATATGTAATATAAAACCTATCTTGCTTAAAGTAAATATGAACACATCTTGCCTTCCTAGCAGGGTATGTGCTTCATAAATATTTCAGCCAAAAATAGATTGTTTACAAGAGCACTCTGAATTCGTAATTACTGTTTGGGCTTTCTGTACAGTCAGTAAACAAATGAGCTGTTGGATTTCACTCATAAGCAGCTTTTTTTAAGGGCCAGTTTTAATGGTGAAAGAAATGGAACATTGGGTTATTTCTTAAAATTTACATTTTTATTAATTTTCATTAGTGCAGGTTTCATTTTTAAAAAATAAATACTATTTTGTACATCGTCCTCTATTTTCTAATGAATGTGCTAATTGAAATGAAATACTAAGTTAAATGTCAATTTTTAAGAAATAATTTTGTTTCTGGAAAATTACTAGCTAGCAGTAGAAGCTTTAGAACAGAACAGCCCAGACAGCCAACATGCCTTTGGGTGGAAAAGCGTCGCTGATTCATTTATGACGCCTCAGAATTGTTTGGGTGCTTACTACAGTAAAAGCACTTGTGAAGTTAACGCTAAAATCTCTAGCCATTAGGTTATGGGAACAATTAGGTACTATCGTTCAAATGTGATCACCGGATGCCCTTAAAATGCTAAACGTCGTCCAGCTCCTGTAGATCTTGGGCATTGGAGTTAGGGCAGTAGGGCTGCTGAAGAATCTGGGGTATGAACTGCAGAGCAGTGGTGCAGCAGGCAGGCAGCAAGGCCAGCTGCGAGTGGGAGGCCTGAGGTGGGAACCCAGGTTCATTCCGGTGCTGTTGATGGCATATTTTTAAGAAAGCAAGAATTGGCAACCAAAATTCATTCAGTTAGTTATGAATATCCATATCCTGATTTCTAACTTTCTCCATATTTTTCATCTGTTTTAAAACAAATATAAACTTTTTCTTAATTGTCGGGCTTAGAAACTCCTCGATAAATCATTATGTATAAACTGATCCTTGATTATTTTTTTTCCTCAGTGAGGTCTACTGAAAATACTTTACTGTGTGACTTGCACTCAAACTTTGAAAATGGTTGCCTGTCTTAATCTCAAGTAAATGGCAAAGCAGATAGGTTGTTCATTTGAAGTCTTTCAAGATTAGTAGCTCTGGATTTTATGTCTAGTGGGTCGAAAAAAACCCTTCCATCTCCGCTTTTCTTCCTGTCTAACGATAGGAGTAGCTGAATAATGACTTCTAAAAATATGTCAGTAGATACTTGGAGATGGAGGGTGCTTCTGTATGTCTGTCTTTGCCCTCAAAACAAACAAATGAATACCCACCTTTGGTCCCGCTGACTGGAACATGGCAAATGGCCTGCCAGTCTGGTGGCAGCTCGGATGGAAAAGCCTGGAGGCCTGGCCATAGGAAGGCGGGACGGCGGCAGCTGCTGAAGCGCGCTGTTCCCAGCGAGGGATCGGCCGAGCTCGGCGGCGAGGGCAGCGTCTTTTCAGCGACAGGAACACAGCAGAACTGAGCAGAAGTGCTCGTGAAGGGGAGAGGACAAAGGAGAAATCCAATGGAGAAGCTAAGTAAAGCTCTGCTTCCTGGGACTGTTGCAGGCGGGTTAGGTCTCTGCTGTGCCATACAGCTGTGTGACGGCTGTATGGATGGCAAGATGCGGCTACGAACATTCCGGAAAGACAAGCCGCGTGTCCAGGGGCTGCAGCCGTCCGCTGCGGAGCGGGGCAGGGCTGTCTGGGCTGGGCGTGCGGCTTCAGTTGCTGGTGGTTGAAGTTAAGCCAGAGTGCTTTTGCAAGCCTGTGTAATATTACTCTACAATGTATATACCCTACATAATTTTGACAGAGAGCTGAATACAGACTTGACGGTGTAATTTTTACAGATGAGGTTTACGCTAATTAGCAATCTATGACCGCTTGCCCTTTATCCTTTGGCAAATTACTGTTTGCTCCCCATAGTATTTGTATTTGATGGGAAGAGTACTTAAGGTGGAAGAAGCATGCAGGCAAAAATTGTAGTTAAAATTAATTAAACCAATCAGCAGAGCGTGATTTCTTTTGGAAAAGGCACTTCATTTAAAAAAATGGTAATAAAGTACTTTCTTAATATGTTTATCAGGAAACTACTTTACACGTGTCTCTTATCTGCAGCGAGATAAGAAAACGGAAGCACGTGCTATATAGGTTTCCTGTTGCGAATATGGGAAGCTGGAAATAAATCCAGAACCGTGCTGCTTTGGTCCGTAAGTTGAAGAATTTTAGTATGGAGGGCTATTCCTTTTCTTGCTTAACCTATGCTTTAAAAAAAAAAAAAAAAAAAGAAAATGAACGCTGTATTTTATAAATTAACTAGAAGTAGGATAAAATTTGGTTCCTTCAGGACAAATACTCCTTGCTGTCTGACCACTTGTCAGTGTTTCAGTATACGCTGAAGGAACCGCTGCAACAGGTAATTCCTCAATTTCCTATCACTGTGCTTGCAGACAGGAATGTCTTTAGAAACCCACAGTGACCAGGGTAAAGATTTTCATAGTATCTGCGTATTTGCCTAAATTCTTCTGTGAATGTAACTGATGAATGTTGTATCTTCAAACTGGTTAGCTAAAGCTGTGTATTCAGACCCAGAAAAGTCTGTCAGTAATTAAATATGTGGACAAAACATAAGTAAATATGAAGGATTGGCCTGTATTTTTTATATTGTCTAAGAGGAGAAAAACTAAAAGGGATCAAATTAGAAAATGTATTAATATTTTAATGTGCAAGTACTTGGCAGGTTATTTGGATGTGATTACAGTATTGATATAAATGCATAGCAAACTTATCTTGAGGAATAAATAGAAAATCTCACAGGACAATCTGAAAGGCTGAAATAAAACAAACTAGCCCTACTACTCTTCTATGTCAGTGCTTGTGAAAAGGAATTAAGGTTTCCTGTAACTGATAAAATGGAAGTTTTAAAACATTCCTTCTAATGAAAAGAGATCATATCATCATCTTCCACTAGAGAGCAGCATTTTGTTTTGGGAAAAGACGTCTTTAGGTAGCAATTCTTTATTTTTCTATTAAAA